AAAATTGAATTAAAACGTTTGAAACGGTCATACTTATTATCGAAATAATATCAACAGTCACGAACTTAATACGCGATTAATTCGTACCGACCATAACGATCCGTTTCAAAATATCTGAGTGACCGAGAAGTCCGTACAAACCCGAAGGTTTAACGAATTGGGACCGGAAACCACACCCGAGTGGTCCGCAAGCACCGAAACGGTGCAGCACGAATCAATGCATATAACATTTGGTTCGTGCACACCGAATCCACAGCACGAAACGAGCTACTTTGGAATCCAAAGCTTAAGCTTAATTCATGCACAACTTTCGTCCATGCACAAAGCATAGCACGAAAGTTCATTATCATTTTCCCAATTCACTAATCAAGCTTTCAAAAGCTTAATTACTATGTTGCAACTTAACCTTTTCCAATGCTAAATTACAAGAATTCCTTCGTGAATGCTAAGTAATTAGCTCCAAGATTAGTGTTAATTTTAATTAGCCACTAAACAATAGGTTTAAGTTTTCGACTTCTCTCAAATAGGTTCACTTTGAGAATCAATTTCTCATTCACCTATTACCCATTTTGAGCGTACATTATATCAAATTCTTCGTCTCACTACGAAGAACCCGAATCCACTTTGACCCGACCCAAATCGGAAGTGGACCCCACATATATCTGTACCACAAAATAATCACTCAAAATGCCATTTTTAGCTAAAAATTCTAACATGTATTTGGCCTATAATTGTGTATTTGATGATTGTTGGATGTTTGGCTCGTGTGGTAACCTGAAACTTTGTACCCAATATTTATTATAGTGGATTATTTGGTTGGTGTTGGTCCCGTGGTTTTTCCCCGTGATTTTGGGATTTTTCACGTAAATCTTGTGTCCTTTCATTGTTATTTATTTTTGGCTATTGTGTATCATCTTGTGTTTGTGCTCCTGTCGGTTCTGTGATTTTTCATTGTCGCAGGAAGTGGGATTTTCCCAACAGCTGTTGATTAGGCATTGGTTTAGGAAGCACAAATGGAGGAAAACCAAAACCAAGAAACTCAAATGGGAGCCCGAATAGTAGTGTGAGCCGTGTTGAAGAAATGAAGGTTTTGGGGAAGCATAGTATGGAGACTAGTAGCAATTCAGATGTCGAAAGCTCGGATCAAGGTTACTATTTATACTAAGGTAATTTTAAAGTTGGTATATTCATATACTACAATGTAATAGAGTCAGTAGCATTCAAAATATAAATATAAAAAAATTCCGTATATTCATGTGTATTTGATTAGCTCAACTTTGTTAATCGGTATTGCATTGTAATTGTAGATACAAGCTAGAAGTTGATTATGCATTTATGTCCTCATTTAATTTTGGCGCAAGTGGATAATAAGGACCAGCTTTTTAATTTTATATTTTTAAAAAAAAGAAAAACTTATAAAGAATAGTTTTTAATTAGCTTTATAGGTTAGCAAATAAGTCACGCAATTACATAAGTAATCATTCATGTAGCTTTATAGGTCCTCATTTAATTTTGGCGCAAGTGGATAATAAGGACCAGCTTTTTAATTTTATATTTTTTAAAAAAAGAAAAACTTATAAAGAATAGTTTTTAATTAGCTTTATAGGTTAGCAAATAAGTCACGCAATTACATAAGTAATCATTCATGTAGATTTACAGGGCGTTTGGTTGGAGGGATTTTAAATTCTCTTCCCATTTAATTCCCACCTAATTCCAAAGGTCATTAAATTCCGTAGTTTGGTTGGATGGAATTGCAATTCCATGGAATTACAATTCCTCCATTTTCATGGAATTCAAATCTCATGTCCCTCTTGGGATTTTAATTCCTGGAAAAAAAAGATAGTGATGAGTTAAAATTACCCCTTCCTTTTATAACCTAAAATTAATGTCTAACAACAATATTGGACATTTTTGACTTTATACTACTTATTCCCTTTCAATTCCCATGTATACCAAACATTGAAATTGAAATTCCCAGTAATTCTATTCCTGTCAACCAAACACTGGAATTTAAATTCCCACTTTATAGCATCGCATGTGATTGCCGGACAACACCGGTTCGAATTGTGCCCGTAAACCATCTCTCGCCGTATTGCCGTTTATCGCACCATAAGCATTCATCAAGGTTGCTGCCCCCTTCACCACAGCCTGCAGCCGTGTCATGGCGACTGAAGGACGACCTTAAATAACAGCATTTTGTTAATGTGGTAGGTGCATGTATGTCTCTAGGTTTTTCATGCTTGGACAAACTCCTTATCATAATCAAAGTCTGGGCCAAGTGTTACATCAAATAATAAATACCTTAGTATTTTATTATAATAATAATCCTAATGTTATAATAATTATTTGAGAAAAAATGTTACATTTGTCCACTTGGTGCAAACACTAAACCCAAGAACATAAAAACACTAACCACAGTGATATATGTCCACTTTAGTGCGAGTAGTATCTATTAATTATAATCAAATAAGCATTTAATTAAGTAACAAAATTTAGGGTCCGTTTGGAAACTTGGAAAATGATTTCTGGAAAATGATTTTCGAGTTTTCAGTGTTTGGATGCAGTAAGAAAATTTAGTCAACAGAAAACATGGTTGCCTTCACTGCCGTCGTTGTCTTCGATTTCTCAGTTTCAATCCATTCCTATATATTTCAGAACGCAACCAGGCAATTATGTTGTGCATCCGTATGCACCATGCATGGTGCATACGGATGCAAAAACGACGTCGTTTTAATAAAACACGCGTCTCCCCTTAAAAAAAAAAATCAGGTTCGATTCCCAGCAACAACATATGAACTAAAATTCCATAATCGATAAACTATAATTCCATAATCGATGAACTATAATTCCATAATCGATGAACTATAATTCCATAATCTAATCTATAAACTAAAAATTCTAGAATGAATGAACTAAAATTCCATAATCTATAAACTAAAATTCCAGAATCGATGAACTACAATTCCATAATCGATGAACTATAATTCCATAATCAATGAACTATAATTCCATAATCTATGAACTAAAATTCCAGAATGAATGAACAATATAATGTTGTTGCTGGGAATCGAACCTGAATTTTTTTTAAAGGGGAGACACGCGTTTTTTAATAAAACGACGTCGTTTTGGCATCCGTATGCACCATGCATGGTGCATACGGATGCACAGCATAACGATTGACACAACCAAACACTGGAAAAGAAAATGTTTTCTGAAAAATAAGTCATTTTTTGAAAAACATTTTTCAGAAATCATTTTCCTTCTTTTCAAACGGACCCTTAATGAAAGAAACACTATATGTTCATTTCAAGTCCAACTGGAGTGGTTCATTTTTTATATGCATAAGGTATATTATCCGCATTGCATGCATAATGTACATTATTTGTATGTGTAAGGTTCAATATTTTGAGCATGTGTTGAATAGACAAGATCCACAATTTGTATGCATAAAGTAAATTATTTGTATGCATTATATTAATGCATAGTGTTGATATAATCACATTTGTGCATGTTTTTATTGTTATTTTGAATCATCTCAGCAGCCTAAGTTCTTTAATTTTGCTTGTTTAATACATGTTTTCCTTGCTTTCTCATTAGGACATGGTTTTACACTTGTTTTGAATGTTTTACGGTGTTTGGTAGTGTTTTTAAACCATTACAGGCTAAGTGCAAAAGCAAGGGGAGATTTTCAAACACGAATGGGTCAAAAAGAGGAAGAAGTTGAGGCATCACAGCCTCGACACGTCAAGCCCTTGCTCGACTCATCGAGATCATCCAGTAGCCCAAAGTTGAGCGGACCGAAGGCTCGACGCGTCGAGAATGTCCAGAAAGTCAAGACCGTGCCCAGATCAGAGGCTCGACGCGTCGAGAGTGCAAAGTGCTGAAAATTTGGAAAGGCTGAAATTTTCCTAAAATAATTCCATTGGGTCCCCACTATAAAAGGACCATCTTCCATCAACCCTAAAAGTTTTCAGATTCGGTTTTTGGAGGCAGAAAAGAGCAAAAACCAAGAAGACCAACTTCAAGATTTACAATTGGCTTTGGAGTAGAGAATTGACTAGGAAGATTCGGGAGAATTCTTTCCCTCTTTCTCTTATTTCTATTGTTGTTTGTTTATCCTTCAAGATTGTATTGATTGCTATTATGGCCATGAGTGGCTAAAAACCCTTAGGGATTTTTGAGTGAATTTGTTTATGAACCTATGTGCCTAGTTCTTTAATTCTTTAATATATTTACGTTTGGTTTTATGACTTGTGTTGCAATATTGTTTTAATCTGTTGTTACTAGTAATTAAAGGCCTAAATTACTTGCTTCATAGACATGTTCATGTCATAACGAGAGTTAGGCATAAATTAGGGCACACACGATTGCACTTGACTGTTGCACCTTGAGAAAGGGCAAATTAGTTGGGGAATTTATTCTAGATTGTTGCACATCGAGAGATGGTAGTAATTGAGATCGAATTAATGAATGCTGTCCTTTGTTCTTATTGACTGTTTAAGCCACGAGAGTGGAAATTCATTAGGGGTAGAGATTACGAGAGTAATTCAATTCCACTTTGCATTCTCACACCAGTCTTAATTCCAAACTAAATATTACAACTTTGATTGACATTAGGTGATTAAACATTGTAATCCCAATAATCCCACTTTGCTCTATTGCTTACAACACCTTGTTAATCAGTTTATTCTGTCTTTTATTTTCTACAATTATCAAATCCTCAAGTTTTGTTTAGATTAGTTCCATATGAGTAACCAAGTAGCTAGTGCTTAGTATCCCACTTCCCTGTGGATCGATTACCCGAATACTCCGGGTATTATTTGTTTGCCTAAATTACCGCAATCAAGTGTACATTAATTGAACATGTATTAAAATGTGTACAATAATGAACAATTTAGATTTTTTTTTTTTTGAAACCAAACAAAACTATATATATTAATTTTCCAAAAGGTCTGCACCAACAATACAAGAGATAAATCTAGGAATACAGTCTACATATTCTACCCTGCCCATCCCTTCATCAAACAGTGAACGTTTTGCAATTTCATGAGCAAAGGTGTTTGCGTTCCTTTTGACAAAATGTAATATAATGTAACTGAGTGCAACTGGTTTAAGAGAGAACGGATGTCATGAATAATTAGCCCGAAAGGAGAATTATGTGTTCCTCCCTTCACTGCCGTAGTCACGATCTGAGCATCCGTTTCAACGATAACTCTATTCCATCCCTTGCACTTTATCCAGCTTAGAGCTTCTCTTACCCCTACTGCATCCGCTTCCCGAACCGAATAGAGGCTCCCTATCTTATGCCACCCCATATTCACCACCACTCCCATCCCATCTCTCATTACCCAACCAAACCCCATCCTGTGTCTCTCAAAATCCATTGCTACATCCACGTTAATTTGCATACTGCCTTGCATGGGAGGCTGCCAGCTTTCCAGAGCATAATATTGGCCTTGCTGGGGGTATGGACCATTACTTTCTATATGGACTTGCTTCCAATTTTGCATGTACAATAAAGCTTGAGTAACTAGTGTCTTTGCATCCATGCTTTGATCTTTGAACACCATATTATTTCGGTTGTCCCATATCGCCCAGCACACAATGATAATCTTCTCAATCATCTCAATTGGCAAGCTTGTCCACATATCCCAAAGCCATGCCTCAATAGAGTCCACATGCGCCATTCTCCATGTTCTATCCAATTCGCTCAGGCATGCACAGGCAAAGGGGTGGGATATAAAACCACTCCCCGCAACCTGTCATAGAAAAGGTCTCCCTAGCAACAGTGTGCGGCGCAATTCGCAAATCGCCTTACGAACCAGAATTGGGCATCGTCAATCAATGACGTCAATTCTTTTACATCTCGATATCAACACCGCCCATGATTACTATGTTGTTGATTTTTTTTTTTTTAATTACTTTTAGTTGTGTATTACATGATCTTGATGTATTCTGTGTGTTTATCTAATCTTATAGCGAAGTACTTCTTATTTGTAACTTATAGTATTTAGAAAATAAACCGTGTAAAAATTGAACTTTTAGTGTTCAAAACTTATAAGGTCAGGTACTTTAACTTCGGTCTAACATTAAAATAATGAATGTTATGTATACAATTAATGTACTTTATGCATTGAAATAATCAACATTATATCTATAATAATAATAATAATAATAATAATAATAATAATAATAATAATAATAATAATAATATTATTATTATTATTATTATTATTATTATTATTATTATATATAGATAATTTCACTAGAGGTCCTTTATCTTTGGTTGCAATTCAAAATTTTGTCTCAAACTATCATTTTTTCCATTTAACATCCTAGATTATTATGTTCTTCTCAAAAGGTTAAATCTCCAACACGACAGAGCATTTAGGAGGATGTAAATCATGGTAACTCAACTGAACCAGAGAGGTACTGCGCACAAGGAGCCCCCTCACTTTGAGAAGTTGCTCTCACACTGCTGTTGGTGAGACTCGACCCCGGGTCATTCTTCCCAAACGTCACCCCTATGACCAGTTGAGTTGCACATGCGAGCATCCTAGACTATTATGTTTCAGACACATTTAATCATGGGAAAATGGCACTTTTTCCCCCTAAGTTATATACTTATAGCACTTTTTCCCCTTGAATTATTCATGTGAGCACATTAGCCCCCTCAATTATTTTAAAAGTGGCGGTTTTTCCCCCTAATATATTTTATTGACATTTCTACCCTTAAAGTAAACATTTTATTTATTTTTCCTTTTTAATAAATTATTGCGTATACATAGGGATGACCACGGTTCGATTCGAATTGAACCAGACACTATAGCAATCGAATTAAAAGTTTCCGGTTATGATTCAGATCCAGAACCCAATATTTTAATTTCAATTCATTAAAATTATGAATCGAAAAAACTAGATCCTGAACCGTGATCCGGCGCGCGGTTCTAGATCCGGTTAGCGATTTTGAACCGTCTTTATTTTTAAAATTTTAATTTTTTATTTTAAAATAGTCTAAATTCAACAATAAATGTATTTTATTTTTTTCAGTTTGGACCATGAACCGGCCGTCCTGGTTCACGATTTTAATAAAATCTAAATATCGGGTTTCGATTCTAAATTGTAATTAGAATATTTCAGTTTGATTTATATAGTGTCTGTTTGGTTTGAACCAACTTGTGGTCATAATTTGTTAGAGAAAAAAATAAATGAAATATTTATTTTAAGAGTAAATATGTCCATTTAACATTTCAGGGGGAAAAACAGCCACTTGAATAATTCAGGGGGGAAAAGTGCTATATGTATATAACTAAGGGGGAAAAAGTGTCATTTTCCCTTTAATCATTCTCACGACTTTTCATATTTTTAGTAAGGACATTTTTATCTTTTCATATTTTTCTTATGTTATTTTTTAGTTTCAACCGATTTAGTTGATTTAATTATTAGCAACTACATCGCCACATCTCTCCCACACACACAATGTGAGGTATATATATATATATATATATATATATATATATATATATATATATATAGGTCCGATAAAAAAGATTATAATATTTATGAAAAGAAATCACCTTTTTTTCCTTATCAGGATGACCCTATTCTTCTTTTATCATGCCCAATTTATATTGTACATTCTATTTATTAATTTTATTTAACAAAATAAATACTAATTGTAATCAATTTTCTATTTTAAGACTTAATAAAAATAATATTAACTATTATTGGAGCATAATATAGTTTAAACATAATAACATTAATCCATAACATAATAACCTCCAAACATATCATAATAAACATTATGAACATTTTATAATGTTTTACAATGATTTCTCAAAGACTAAGAGTGAAAATAACTATACTAAAGAGAAATATCCGTGATGATAATGATTATTAAGTAATAATAACTAAAAGTAATAGCTCACATGACATGACATTATAAGTATTTTTAATTTTTTTTGAGAAAACATGACATTATAAGTATTTTCTTTTTCGGAGAAAACATAACCCTATGATGGAGGAGGCGCTGCTGTATCCTTTGACTTTTTTCTACCGAAAATCTTGGGTTTGAACCCTTTCTCGAGCATCTTCTCAACCTCCTCGAATGGCAATCCTTTGGTTTCGGGCACGAGGAAGAAGATGGCTATGAGACCGATGAGCGCAAATCCCGCAAACAACAGGAATGTGCCCCACGGCCCGATAGCCTCGGTGAGTGTTAAGAATGTCTGGCTTACTACGAGGTTGGACATCCAGTTAGAGACGGCGGCGATTCCTCCGCCAATGCCTCGGTATCTCAGAGGGTAAATCTCGGAGTTGACAATCCAAGGAACGGTTCCTATCCCTGGTGCATAGGATATGATGTACAGTCCCAGGAGTAACACTGCAAATATACCAAACTTGCTTGGGCAACCTTGTGTGTACCATTCTCGTCTTTCTGACTTGCACATCCCTTCGATGGCATCCGTCTTAGATAAACATGCCCCGGGTTGATACTGTTGAAACAAAATGATATATAAGTGCCTAGCTGTTGTTGAGCATATAATATATATAAACATAAAGAGTTTTTTGCACTTTTAGTCCCACGACTATAATGGCACTGGCAGAATTGATCCACGACTTTTGAACCTTGCAATTTTAGTCCACGACTATTGACTTTTTTGCAAAAATGGTCCTTCCGGCCACTTTTCCGTCAAAATTTCACCGGAAAAAAAAATTATCTATTTTTAGTGGGGTTAAAATTGACATTTTACTTATCTCAAAAAATTAAAAGAAAAAAATTGATATTTGACTACATACAATATTACTGGGCTACATACTACTGCCCCAGGCAGCGGAGTACATGTACCACTCCAATGCTGCTGCCGAATAACCCAACTAGCCCGGGGAACGTCACGGTCGCTCCGCCGCTTACTAACAGCCCTGCCTGCTCCAGGAACTCTGCCGCCTGGGGCAGTAGTATGTAGCCCAGTAATATTGTATGTAGTCAAATATCAATTTTTTTCTTTTAATTTTTTGAGATAAGTAAAATGTCAATTTTAACCCGACTAAAAATAGATAATTTTTTTTTTCCGGTGAAATTTTGACGGAAAAGTGGCCGGAAAGACCATTTTTGCAAAAAAATCAATAGTCGTGAACTAAAATTGCAAGGTTCAAAAGTCGTGGATCAATTCTGCCAGTACCACTATAGTCGTGGGACTAAAAGTACAAAAAACTCTAAACATAAATGTAATGAAACATTTCAATTTGATATCAGAGTCAATCTCATACTAAAGGTCATGAGTTCGAATCTTCGTGACACCCTAATAAAATGAAACTATGGTTCAGTGTTGCTCGGAGCCCGTCAAATAGTAACCAGTTCACACGCGTGAGGAGGCATGTTAAGCATATAATTTTGTTGGTTGTTAGTTTTTTGGTCTGACAAATGGTCCAGTGTTGTTCAGAGCCCGTCAAAAAGTAACCGGCTCACACGCATGAAGAGACGTGTTGAGCATATAATTTTGTTGGTTATTAGTTTTTTGGACTGACAATGGGGTGGGACTCTCTGTTCACAAGGGATCAGTCCAATTAAGGGGTAAAGTGCTGGTCAGATTGAGTTTTTAATATGAAAGGGGGACTGGTTGCTTGTTAGTTGTTACTTCAAGTAAGGTGAAATGAAATAGAAGTGACTTACTTGGCTGGCTGAGTTACTGCAAAAGGAGCAGTCGGATTTCTGTAGACACGACATACAACTCCAGGATGCCGGGTTTGGTGCTTTCAAGAAACTCGAGCATGTGGTGTTTACTCCGAAGTGATTAGATTCGAAGACACTGACTGGCGGGGAATGGACGCTGGCTTGTTGAAACAGGACAGATAATACGACGAGGCACGTTGTGGTACCAATCATCGAGTAGAGGATCAATTTCCTCCTCCCGTACCTGTCCACGAGTAGCATACTAATCACGGTTCCAACAGCGTTGAGCCCAGACGTGATGATAGAGAGGGCGATGGCGGTCCTGTTGGAGGCAAAACCGGCTAGTTGCACAATGGTCGGGCTGTAATACATGACGGTGTTGATCCCGACGAATTGCTGAGCAACTTGACAGGTTACGCCAGCATACAGACCCCTGCGAACCACAATGTTTCCCCAAGCGTTCTTTAGTTTAGCCACCGTGCTGTCTCCTATAGCTTTGGATTCCGCCTTCTCGTGCTCAACCGACTCCTTTAAAGCGCTCAGCTCTTGCTCAACTTCATCCGCAGAATAGATCTTCTCCAAAATCGTCCTGGCTTCATCTACCTTGTTCTGGAACGATTAATAACACATTAAGTAGTTTTAATTTGTCTCAATTCAAGCTAGCTAGCTTTTAAGGCAAATCAATTGCGTTTATAGTAATACCTGGCGATACAACCACCTAGGAGACTCGGGGAGAAAGAACATGAGTACGAGTTGAACTACAGCGGGAACTCCCGCTATTCCAAGCATCCAACGCCAAGTGCCGGGTACCTAGACAGAGATACATAAACCGGGCTTTTTATATATCGTTTCCAAGTATGAAAGAAACTAAACGGAACAATTAGTTTGCATTTACTCACCCTGGTGAATCCTAAGTTGATAAGATAAGACAGAAACTGTCCCCCAGTGAGTAGCAGACCATTAGCACTGACTAGAGCTCCTCGAATCTTAGCGGGTGAAGCCTCTGAGATATAAAGCGGTGCAGTCATGGACGCCATTCCGACCCCCAAACCCACCAGAAATCTTCCGATTACTATGACCCACGGAGCCGGGGCAGCAGCCATCACCACAGCGCCAAAAAAGAACAACACATCAGCTATTATAATCGATTTTCTCCGACCCAACTTGTCGTTCAGCCATCCACCAAATCCAGCACCCACAACCGCACCTGCCACTGTCATGCTCACAATCATTTCCTACACATTGTGGAACGAATTCCTTAGGCCTCATATTATTATACATATATATATGTGTGTGTGTGTGTGTAATGAACCAGAATATCGAATTCCTTAGGCCTCATATTATTATACTGTCATGCTCACAATCATTTCCTACACATTGTGGAACGAATTCCTTAGGCCTCATATTATTATACATATATATATGTGTGTGTGTGTGTGTAATGAACCAGAATATCGATTTACTTGCCTGAAGCCATGTGTACTTCTCAACAGCTTCAAAGTCATCCCGAATATACAGCAACGCACCAGAAATAACACCTTGTTTTCAAACAACAATATCGCTTTTAGCAACCAGGATAGTTAAGCAAGGAAAGCACAATTAGATCACCATAACTTTTTCTTTCAAAACAAATATGACTTATGAGAAACTATGCAGCTAGCTTTGTGTTTTTACCAGTATCGTAACCAAACAGAAATCCCCCAATGCCGGCAGACATGGCAAGCAGCATAATGTATGGCGTTCTCCATATCATCCTCCAACATTCTGTGAATTCTGTTTTATTTGCTTTATGAGGACCTCCCTCCATTGAATCTGAGTTGAGAAACACAACTTGCAATAACAAAAAACACAAAATCAAACATAAAATCTATGGACTGAGTTTTATTAGGACTCTATAATCATGTATTTCATCACCTTTAGGGTTCCTCTATATTTAATCAACTTTAGGATTCCTCTATATTTCATTTTTTTCTTAATAAAATCTTCACACTCGGCATTAACCAAGGGGTGTATAAGTGTATTCAAACAAAACTTGCAATAACACAAAAACAAAATCAAACATCAAATCATGGACTGAGTTTTATTAGGACTCTATAATCCCGTATTTTATCAGCTTTAGGATTCCTCTATATTTCATCAACTTTAGCATTCTTACACCATCTCTTCTCCGAAAAGGTTGAATCACCAACCAGAGCCTCCCACACCCCCGACCCGACAGAGCATTTATAGTTGATAAAATACTGAGTTCTAATAATAAGTTTAAGATACACACACTTACAAATTAAATAGGAATTCATAGTTTTGAGGAGTAAATTAAATGATGAATGTCGTATGCAGATTTGAATGATGACTAAGAAAAACTTAACGCCACAATAAACCTAACCATGGAAAAGAAAATTAACACAATTTTTCTCTGAATTACTTCCACAATTATATTCACTCACATAATAATTCAACCTAAACTACTACAACAAGCAGCAACAATGAAGAACCATTGCATGATCGATCACACATTGGCACTCAACAAAAAACTCAGACAAGAACAAAAAAAACCATTAGCATAAAGAAAATCATCCAAACCCAAACAGTAAAACAAGAAATTAAACAGTAAGAACAATGGAGGAGAAAGTAAATCAATACCTTTAAAATGAATGTTCTTTATTTGGGTATAATTTTTTTTTGGGCTCAATAATTCTCCTTGGAGAAGTATGGATATATATGTATATATATATATACACACGCTACAAGTCCACTACTATTGTAGTAGTATGAAAAGTAAACATTAAGCGCCCTTGGTGTATTGAAATTGTAAGACTGTTAAAAATGGTCCCAAAAGAATTTGATATTATCCGCATTTCGGGGGATTCCTAAACTCCCTATGACATATATATGGAATCACGAAATAAATAATAGAAACCGATGAAAGTTACCTACTTGGGATGCCAAATTAAAACGAATCATTAATCCGTAAAAAGATTTGGAAGATGAGTGGATCCAAGTCATCCAACACTTTATCAGTTTATCCATCCAATATTATCTTATTATACTCAAATTCTTACCCCAATTATACTCAAATTCTTCCTTGATTGCTTACCAATTTTAAGACTCATTCGAATTTGACTCCAACTGCTCTTTAATCACAAATAAAATTTTCATCTTTTTCTTAATAAACTCTTCACACTTGGCATTAACCTAGGGTGTATTGAATCAAAACTTCTATTAGTTTTTAAAAGATTTTAAAAGTTCGGTGGTATTCAATCTTTAAAAGTCTACTCGTACTCAAAAACTTATTAACTTTCCTAGACTATATTAGAATAAAATTTATGTAGACTTTTTCTTTACTAATATAAATAAATGAAATTCAATCATCCAACTCCAAACATTTCAACTTTCGTTACAATTTTTTTTTCCCTAACCAAACAAACTTTTCATCCATTCCTATCAAATTTTATGACGTGTTTCAAGCGTTTTTCTAAATACTCATATACTTTTTATTTTTTTCTTTATTTTCAAACATATTTATTAAAAAAAATTATTATGAAAAATAATTATTTGTTGTTGTCAGGGCCGTTTTTAGATTTGTGTGGCCCTGTTCGGGTAAATAGATAAGGCCCTACTAAAATCAAAATCTTTAAAACTAATACTATATTTTTTTCTAATCTATACTATTTTAATCGGATATCAACCAAAGAAAAACATATTCAGGGAGACCGTTTCTGCATTGGTAGATATTCACACGTATAATAAAAAATTTTATCCGTGCATCGCACGCACACTGCACGGATAATTGGACAATTATTTGCTCGAATTCAAGCAAGGATAACATCAAAAAACATAATCGATACAATCTATTTCATCAATTGCACTATATAATATTCGTTGTTATAATTTATATTTGTAAATTGATCAAAATATTCTTAAATATTATAACAAAACTATTCCGTGCAACGCACGGGTAAAAATACTGGTACTGTGCGCAAAGTGTTCACAAGTTTTGAACCTTAGATCTCCAAGTTAAAATAGAGTAAATTCCATTTTTAGTCCTAGACTATTGTGACATTGCCACATTTAGTCCTACTCTATTAATTTTTTCATATTAAATCCCTGGCTTTAATTTGATTGCCACTATTGATCCTTCGTTAAAATTTCCGTTAGTTTACCGTTAATAATAAGGTCAATAATACAATTTAATAACTTATCTCAAATATATATCAAAATTCATCTTTTTTATTAGACTTCCTTTCTCTCGTAACGCTTGCGCTATCCCTTTTTCTTGGGGGGGGGGGGAGGTTAATTGCGCTATCCCTTTCTTAGAAGTATCATAACTTCTATGCGCTATCTCTGTCTCTCGTAACTATCGTACCTTCTCTGTGGTGCCTGTGCTATCCCTTTCTCAGAACTCCTCTGCTCTATCCATCTCTCTCCCTGAATTATTTATTCCTAGTCATTATTAAAGTAATACAGACAGAAATTGAAATTCTCACTTGGGCGAAGAATCGGACTATTAATACAATTAATTCAATTCACAGTTTAGCTAGTAGTTCATCATGATGAAATATGATCTGAGTATAATTCTGGGTTTCTTCTAATCTGATCTTCTTTTCCTGCTTAGCTAGTTCATCATGGGTTGAAAAGTAGGTCCCCAGATTTACACTTCCAGCACATGGGCTTGTAATTGGAGAGATAATACCCTCTTGTATAGGCCACATTCTTGGGGACTGCCTCTACTTGTCTGTTGGTGTTTGAAGGTTGGAACAATGGGGACTTGGACTGCTTCACAGTGGCCACAGTTTCTGCACCTACTCTCACATCTTGGTGGCCTTGACCCTATCAGAGAGAGTTACGGGGAGGAAGTATAATAAAAAATATGAATTTTGATTAGTATTTGAGACAAGTTATTAAATTACATTATTGACCTTATTGTTAATGGTAGATTAACGGAAAATTTAACGGAGGGCCAATAGTGGCAATCAAATTAAAGTTGAGGATGTAATATGGTAAAATTAAAAGAGTAGGACTAAATATGACAATGCCACAATAGTTCAGGACTAAAAATGGAATTAACTCTTAAAATATAATAACCACACACTCCCACCATTTCTTGATAACGCCTTTTAAATTTAATTAGAAACTTTTAGTTTTTATTTCTAAACTAACTAGGTAAAGATGAAATATTGAGCTTCTAAAATTTGGGACCCTATGCGGTAGCCCAGCTTGCCCTGCCCAAAATCCGGGCCTGATTGTTGCTCATAACAAATTTTTTTTTGTTGCGAACAGCAACAAGAAGCTCTTGTTGTTTGTTTGTATAAAAAAGTTGTTGCAACAACTAAATTTGCTGCGAATAGCAACAACGGCTGTTGTTCATAGTAGAAATCTTTTGTTGTGACTTGTGACTAGCAAGTTGCTGTTGATGACCTAAATTTTTTAATTCAACATTTTTATATAATTAACATAATTTTATGTAATTGTATGTTCATTAATTTTTTTTTTCTGAATGCTACTGACTCTATTACAATGTAGTATCTGTTCATAACTATTTTCTCAACCTACTTTCTCATTAATTGTTAATATATGTTGTAGACATGGAAAATTTGAAGCCGACAAGTGGACGAATTAAATCATTATTGAGCCCAATTTCGGGATTGATTATTAGTCCAATTTAATTAATTGAGCTATGATAATTAAATTAATTCAATTAATCTAAGTAAATTTGATTTGGGCTATTAAATTAATTAATTAATTGGTCCAAGCCCATTTCATAATTGAATAATAATTATAATTATAATTTAAATATAATATGATTTTTATTATATTTGAATTAGATGATTATAATTTAATTTGAATTTGAATTAGATGATGGAATAATGAACCTAGACTTGATTTTGGCAAGGTTCATTTTAGTAGATAATTAATTAATTTAATTTAATAAATATTAGTGGAGTTTGTTGAGGGATTTTAGTTACAAATTTCACTATAAATAGAGTCTCAATTTCATTCTTTAAATCACACCTCAAATGCATTGAAAACAACTTGAAGACTTGAGAGTTTGAAGGTATTGAAGAACGACGCTTGACAACTTGAAGACTTGAGGAGTTGAGAGCATTTTAAGAACAACTAGAGCATTTGAAGAGCTTGAAGGCATTGAAGAACGCTTGAAGACTTGAAGGCATTTTTGTTGATTTTGCAGGCAATTTGAATCCATTGCATGTACTTTGGAGCTTTGCAGAATTGATTGTCTCGATGATCTTGAAGTCTTTTGAAGACATTTGAGGATCTTAAGGCAACTTGAATCCATTGCATGTGTTTTGAAACTTTGCAGGGTTGATTATTTATAAATTCTTGACGTTTGTTGTTGAAGATCACGCCACTTGAACCCCGGAAGCTACGGCGTTTGAATCCCGGAGGCACGCGCCACTTGAATCCCGGAGGCTAGCACGCCCAATGGGACTACTCTGCCTCTCATCTCTTCACTATCGATCTACATCAGCAAGCAACTCTACTAGCAATCGGAATGGCGTCAAGAAGCTCGATGTTCAAGAAGTCTTATGCCTAAGTCGCTAGTTCCAAGTCTTCATCAACAGCGGGTTCTGAAGCTAGCCAAGAGACCGAAGCACTATTAACCATGAGCCGTGCAAGGAGCTTAGGAATGCGACCGCCAGAGCCTGAGTCAATTGTTAAACGCATGATTCAAAGACTCGAAACGACTCCTACCGTCCCGAGGAAGTCTATCTATATTGCAAGTCCACCATTTTCGAAAGAAGCAGCTGGTAGCGAGATGCCGACATCTCCGAAAGAAGCGGCGAATAGCGAGAAGTCATCTACCTCAGAAGGAGCGGCAAATAGCGAGAAGTCGGCTATCCCAAAGGAGCAGCTGGTAGCGAGAGTCTAACATCTCCGAAAGAAGCAGCCGATAGCGGGAATCCAACATCTTTGAAAGGAGCTGCTGGTAGCGGGAGTCCAACATCCCCAAAAGGAAACGCTAACACCGGAGGCTCGTCACCGACATCACCGTCATCCAACATGTGGAAGGTCACGCCAGAATGGTCACGCATCTATGCAGGCATGCCGGCTATGACAACAAGCGTGACAACTATAGAGAACCAGCTTGCAAGCATCACTAAGGCGCTGGAAGGGATCACCACCTAGGGGTGTCAAAGTAGGCCGAAGCCCGCAGGTTAGCCCGCACCCGTCCCGCAATGGGGCGGGTTAGGGCCGCAAGAAATTAGGCTCGCGAAAATGCGGGCCTAACGGGCATGGTCCGCGGAGGGCCAGAGCCCGCGTGGGTTGCGGCCCGGCCCGCGGGCCAGGTCATATTTAAAAAATAAATAAATAAATAATATATATAATATCTTTTTTTAAAAAAAATCATATATATAATATCTTAATTCTTAGGCAATGTGTAGATCTAACTATCTAAAAGTACGCAGAAGGGGAGAAATCCAATAATTCAATAATCCTTCGCCAATTCTTAATTCAATAATTCCTAAAGTACGTAGTTCTTCGGTTCTCCCGTCTCCATCCGCCTCCAACTCTATCAAATAATTACTAAAACTAAATCATCAATTCATACATATTTATGAATTACTAAATCGCCTCCAAGTCTAGCAAACATACATATTTATATATGTATTATACACAGACGGGAATTGTAGAGGGAAAATATGAAG